AGTGTATTGGTTACCTTCTTTTATAATTAAGCTGTGTAACAAACCACCCCCTAGCTTGGAGGCTTAAGATATATGAGCAAGTGTGCAGGCCAGACTTAACTGGGCGGTTCTTCTGGTGTCCTGTTGGTCAGCTGGGAGCCAGGGGGCAAGCAGGCCACACCTCAAAGCCATAGCAGCATGGATGCACGTCGCTGATAATGTGTTCAGAAGCTCTTCCTGGCCTAGAGCAAGTGTTTGGAAAGTGGTTTATGCTACAGGGTTGACAACCAGAGTAGGTACAAGGAATCAGGGAAAACACGAGTTCTTTTAAGTAGCTTAGTCTCCTCATTTGAGTTTGTGTGATGTTTCCTCAGGATCCGACTTGAGGCAGAGTTTTGTCGGTGTTGGTGGTTGTGTTTTGTTTTGTACCAGTTCTGAGGCCTGAACTCAGGGCTTAGGCATTGTCCTTGAGCTTTTTTGCCTAAGGCTAGTACTTTGCCACTTGAGTCACACCTCTATTTCTGGCTTTTTGTTTAATTAGGGATGAGTCTCACAGACTTTTTTCTTCTTTTTGTCAGTTGTGGGGCTTGAACTCTGGGCCTGGGCACTGTCCCTCAGCTCTTCAGCTCAAGGTGAGAGCTCTACCACTTGAGCCACAGCACCACTTCTGGATTTTTTTTTTTTCAGTACTTAATTGGAGATGAGTCTGGGGGACTTTCCTGCCTGGGCTGGCTTTGAACTGCAATCCTCAGACCTCAGCTTCCTGAGTAGCTAGGATTATAGGTGTGAGCCACCAATGCCCAACTCCCTTGAGTTTTAAGAGATTTTGGGTGTATGCTTGTGGTGCATTGAAAGGTTCCACTTGACTCTGAGACTCAGGCACTTTTATTTCATCTCTGCTGGGTGCATTAAGTATTCTAGGGAACACTTTTAGTCATGAGACTTGGGGTGGAAGAGAGCACCCATTCTCACCCTGCTTCTGCACATCCAGGCACATCAGACACAGCGTGTGTTTCCTGGACTCTTGAGTCACTCCAGGCTGACCACCACGCGGATCCTGTGTTTTTCTGCTCCCCTTGATGGTGAGCCTTTCCACACTGGTCTCTCCGGCCCACCTGTCCTGGCACTGTCCAAGCCCTGGCCTAGATAGGAGCCCTAGCTCTGCCATGGCCCGTCTTGCTCACCCACCTGTTCATGTGGCCACTGCTACATGAGTCTGTGGCTTCTCCAACTCTGCCTGGCACTAACTGAACATCTAAGGCTAGTGTCTATGCTCCATGCCCCATACCCACCAAGGGGAATGAAGGGAAGGGGGAATCTTTTAGCTCAAAATAGTAACTGATGTCTAGCCTGGTGCTACTGATGGCTCACACCTGTAATCCTGAGACCTGAAGTCTTCAGTTCAAAGCCAGCCAAGGCACAAAAGTCCACACAACTCTTATCTCCAATTAACCAGCAAAAAAACTGCAAGTGGAGCTGTGGCTCAAGTGGTAAAGCACTAGCCTTGAACAACAAAAAAAAAAGAACTAAGACAATGCATAGCTTGAGTTCAAGCCCCAATACTGAGCATGCATGCACATGCACACACATACACACACACACACACACACTCAAAACAGTAAGTAAAGTTTGTAAATATTGACCATGATTCTCAGGACTCCATTGCCAACAAGACCTTAAAATGGCCAGCGAGTTGCCAGCGCCACCTTGTGGTCAGGTTGGCGTATGTACGCCTCCTCTTCCCAGCCCTGAAGAGAGGGCACTCCTAGTGGCTATTGCTCTTCCCTGGGCTTGGGTTTGGAAGTGTGGCGGCAATCCTAGGTGTCTGGGAATCAAGGTGAAAGCAGGCATCGTGGAGACTGAAGTCCCTGCTTGGGCCACACTGCTGTCATTCCTCCAGAACCCCTCCCCCCACAGGAGCCTGTACCCACCTGGAGGAATGCCAGTGCTGACCCCCAAAGCAGCAGAAGGCCTCCAGGAAGCCCCTCACATCCCAAGGTCTCGCGTGGCTTAGGGATGGAGATGTAGCTCCAGAAGGCTGACGTCACCCCAAAAGGCTGGCGGAGATCCAGGCCTGTAACCTAAGCAGCTGTGTAATCTCGTTTATCACCTCTGGCAGATGCTGGGGGTAGGCAGGGACACGGGGCACTCGTGTTGATGATGCAAGACCAGAACTGCCCCCCCCTCCCCGCCACCAAAGCTCCATCCAGATCCCCAAAACATCCCTGGTGATCTCAGGGGGTTGGCACCAGTACACGGACACAGGTTTGTGTCTTCCTTGTACAAGACGTGGCGCTGAATCTTCTATCCCGGAGCCTGTACCCACCTTCTGGAAGGAAGGCTGCACCCTGCCCCCCTCTGTGGGTGACTGTGTCTCAGAGTGAAGGGGCTCAGTGCAGCCCCCTTTTCCCCAAAGCCCAGAGTCCCCCACTCCCGGCCCACCCGAGGGCCCACAAACCTGCCCCACGCGCACATGCTCCAGACTTTGCGGCTGTTTTTTATTAATATTATCTTTTCCTTTAAGCATCCCTTTAAGGGTGAAATGAAATCCAACCATTTGCAGAGAAAATGATTTCAGAATGTACATATCGATTTTCCTTTACAAAAAAAATATTATTATCGGTGTCCTTAAATTATACATTTCCCAGGGCCTAGCCTTCTGTGTGAGCGAGTCCTGTCTCCCCCACCCTGCCTCTCACTGTTTTCCCCAAAACTTCCCCCCGCCACCCCTCGAAGCCTCTGGAACTGACACAAGCTCTGCGTAGACACGACCAGCTGGAGGCCCTGCATCGACTTGGGGCTAGTGTGCCTACGTTCACATTGTTCTTCTTCCCTTCATATTGGGGGTGTCCTGGACTCCCTGTCCCCCCCACAAGTTCCCAGTGTATGCTATGGTTAAATGTCGGCTTCGATGGCCAGGCCTGCATGCCCCCCGCTGCTCTGACCACAGGCCAGACTCCTGCATCCTTCTCCTGCCCCAGAGCTGGTGAATACGGGCCAGGGCCCTGCCAGCCACGGGGGCCAGGGATACGGGGTGACGATGCTGCCCAGAACGCAGGGGTGATGCGGGAGTCGGCTAGAATGCCTGTCACAGGGTGGGCAGAGGGGGTTGGCGAGAGAAGGGCCCTGGCCTGGAGTGCCTGGGCCCAGAGCCACCTGTCCCAGGCTCACCTGCACCTCCAGGGGGCGCTGCTGAGACTTAGAAGGGGGAGTTGGGGTGGGGGGAGGCATCTACAGGGTAGAAGAGGAGAGGGGCCGTGGAGACCCTCCGCCTGCTGCGGGAGCTGCTCTGAGGCAGGCTCCTCATGTACGGAGATGGGAGACATCCAGTTCCTGGGGAGGAAGGTGGGGCAGGAGGACACAATGGACCAAGGGGCCAGGGAGGGGAGGAAATGGACTCTCAGCCCTCAGGAAGGACTCCCATTCCTCAGACCGAAAAACAGACAGACCCCACATCCCCTAGAGCTTTGCTCTCTAGGCACTCCTAGGGCTTCCTGCCTCAGTGATCCTGGAGAGTCACAGCTCACGTGGCCACAGCCCCAGGTCCTGGGCTCCCCTGCCCACCCACAAGCGTCTATGTACAGGGACACATGGATACAGACACGTACAAATACACACCAAGCATGCACCCATGCCCATAAATATACACACGCGCACAGACACGTACCATTCCACAGGCAGCTTGGCACGCGGGTGTCGGGGGCCATGTCTGTGGGTGCCTCGGAAAGGGGGGGCGCCCACCCATCACAACCCCGCACCCCAGTCCTAGGCAGACAGGAGGGGAACGCAAAAGTCTGAACAATGAGGAGTGAAATAATCATTTTCACCCCTCCCCAAGAGACCGGTGCCCATTCCCTACACCCAGCCTCTTGTCAGCCCGAAACACCTCATCTTCCTGCTGGAGACTTCCAAGTGTTTGGATTACAGGTGTGCACCACAGCTAGCACCCTTTCGTAAGGGTACTTCTAAGATGAGGCTGGGAACATGGCAGCCTCTCTGGAGACTGCATTTCCCAGTTTCCTTTGCAGCTACTTGTGACCACGTGACTATATCCCGACCAATGAGATGCCACCAGAGGTGGCATTTTTCACAGTAAAGGGTGTGCACTCCCTTGCCTTTCTACGTTTTCTGGATGCATGTGTGTTGGTGGGAGCTGGAGCAACCACTCTGTGGGCAGAACTGGAAGGTGGGCTTGAGGGACAGTGGCACTGCCCTGCCAGCTCTGGTCCTGCTAAACAATCTAATTAGATGTGTGAGCATCTGGCTAAAACCACCGTGTTCTGGGGGCTCTCCCAGCAGCTTAGAAACTGCTCTGACAAACACATCCCTTGGCCCCACAAGGCAGGCTAAGAGGAATGGGTTGACATAGTACTGGCCTTGATGGCCCTCCTCGAGCCTAGGAAAGCCTCCCGCCCCGTCCAGGGACACAAGTGTGGGGTGATTGCACATGGGGAGGATGGCGCACTGGGGAGAGGAGGATGGGACTTCAGCCATCCCCCCCCCCACTACTACAGCTACTGTCCCCAGCCTCCCCGCCCTGAGAACTGGACTCCTGGAGTCCTCACAAGCTACAGAGCCAACAGCCCACAAGACAGCAAAAGAAAGGGAAAGGAGGAACCTCGAAGCCTAAGGGAGAGGGGACCTGAAAGAGAGGCAGCGGGACCCCAGGCCCGTTCGGGGCGGACGAGGCCAGGCCTCACCCTTCCTGAGGACACCCTGGTGGGTCCTCTTCACCCCCCAACATGGCGTTCACTCCTCCACCTCCCGGTCCCATCCCCGGCTCCCGCACCCGGCCGTGTCCCTGTGTGTAGGCCCCGAGGCCCAGTCCAAGGCCCCCCTGGCCCGGGGCAAAGGCTGCGGTGGCTCCTCTCTCCTGGCAGGATTGTTTTTATTACTATTATTAATTTTCCTTCGCTTGTTTTCGAGCGGAAAGACTTGATCCTTGGATTCACCGGACCTCACCCCACGCACCGGCTGGGGGAGAGGGCGCGGCCCTGCCCCGCGGGGCCCTGAGATGGCCGCTAGCCCTGGCCGCGGGCGTCGGGCTGGCCTCCGGGGGGCGGCGGGGGCGGGGGCGGCGGCGGCCTGCCGTCGGGGTTCCCGCCGGGTTCCGTGGAGCCCCGCGGGGAGGTGGCCGGCCCCCGGTACGGGTTGTCCAGCAGGTAGCGGAAGTGGTCGTAGTTGTTGAGCAGGTACTTGGGGGCGTACATGTGCTCGCTGGGGTCGGCGGGCGGGTACTCCTGGCGGGTGCCGTCGAACCAGCCTCCGGTGCGGATGAGGCCCCGGATGTAGTTGAGGTCGCGCTTGTCCTCGTAGTCACCCCAGCGGGGGAAGTCGCCGTTCTGGGCGGACACGAGCTTGAAGTAGATGCCCTCGGGGGTGAAGCACCAGGAGCAGTGCCAGCCGGCGAAGTGCAGCGGGCTGCCGAGCGACCACTGCACCAGGATGTGCCCGGTGCGGTTCTCGTACTGGCGGAAGTTGGGCATGGTGTAGTACTGGCGGCGGCGCAGGCGGATGCCGTCCAGGCCGTAGACGGCGCGCAGCATGTCCACCGTGCAGCCCGACACCACCTCCAGCGAGCCGGGCTGCTTCCAGAAGAAGCCGTACAGCGACTTGCGCATGTGGAAGGCGAACGGCTCGGTCCAGCCGTCGAAGAGCTTGAGGAAGAGCACGCCGTCGCGCGCGGGGATCTCGTCGGCGTCGTCGATGATGAAGACGTCGTCGGGCCGCAGGTTGCGCAGGCGCGGCACGCCGTCCTGCGTGAGGAAGGTGCGCAGGTAGTCGTCGGCGATCCAGCCGTCCTGCCGGCCGCCCGGCGGGAAGTGGTCGAGGAACACGTACAGCACCTTGTGGCGGATGTACTCGAACGTGCCGTTGGTCAGCAGCTCGCGGAACTTGAGCGGCCGCGGCTCGCCGTACGCCGTGAAGTTGGACTCGCACACCACGAAGGCGTCCACCACGTCGCCCAGCTCGTGGAAGCGCACGTCCAGCAGGTCGAACTCGTGGTTCACGTTGATGGCGTTGATCACCCGCCGCGGCACCTCGCGCGGCACCAGGCGCTCCTTGGTGGGCAGGTTGGAGTACTGCACCACGGTGGGCACGCCGCAGCTCGGCCCG